TTATCCAGCTCAGAGCTCCAGGCGGTTCATCTGCCTGCAAGAGCTGATTGCTCCAGAAAGTGAATTGCTTAATATACATAGTTCTTAAGTCCCGTGAGAGCATAACGCTCTGTGTGCAAAGTCTGCACTGTGTTAGTCATGATAGCCAAAGACACGAGGGCTACAAGTGCATCTGGGGGGCATGTTCAAGTACCTACATGTTTGTTTCCTCCCATGCATAGTGTGGTGACGCCATGGTAAGAACAAACCCAAAATAACATGAAGGGAAATGACCACAAACTGTAGAATCCATGGAAGGCTCAACTGTGTCCTTCTATTTCTAGTGGAAAGGGACAAGACGTGACACAGAAGCTCATTTCAACACTCTGAAAATAGAAACAAATGACAAATGACAAAAACGGAACGGAAATGCATTAGAATGTTCTGTTTCTGGTCTCATCACCCAGGACAATGGCTAGGCTTGACATGGGCCGGAAGACAGCCTGAGAGAATAATACCAGGTCCCCGTTGTATTGACAGGTCTTCTTCAAAGCTTGGTTGTCTCTAGTCTACAAGTGCTAGCCTAAACTCAAGTTCAGGAAGGCTGGCCCAGACAGGACAGACAGTTGGGCTGTTTGGTCGGCGAAAGACAGGCTTTGTCTTTGGTTGGTTTTTGGCAGCGCCTCTGTCATTTGTTAGATGCCTTCATGCTCTTCCCTGCCCGCCAGGTGTAGAGTTCTCCCCCTTGTCTCGTATCCTAACCACTTGAACTGACTACAAGATCTAGTAGAAGTGCATTTAGTGCTCCTAAATATTCTGAGACCGACACCTTGAAACGTCTTCCCACATACTTCAGAGCTCCGAAAGAGGATGGAAGGCAGCAGAGCAACACACACTGAGCTGACTATGTCCTTAGGATCATCTTGCAAATTAAAACTCAAGAAGTGCCGAGCAGAGTACTCGAACCCAGAGGCCAGGGAGAGTGTTAGTTTATAGTGCCTGGTCAAAACCTCCAGCCTCCATATTTCTATGTAATATATTTCCAATACAATGTACGGGGCCAGGGGACCCTGTCCTGACAACCCCATGGTTAAACAAGGAGGGTCTCCACAGCTTTTAGAGGCTGATAAGAGTAGTCCACCGGACCCCTTCTCTCTATACATATTCTCCAAATCTTTCCACGGCTTACTTTCTTATACATTTAAAATCCATTTCTCCAGCAACAACTAGCACAAATGACATTCCTAACCAGCAGGATGCGTAGGTAAAGTCAAAGACAAAAGCCAGGAAGTTCCCTTTAAGTCATGTATTTCTTTTCCATGGCAATCAATCAAGTTACTCAATGTTTCCCTCCTATTCTACCCATTTACAGCAGGGGGCTCTCCATTTACAGGTGTGGAAGGTTCATGCTAGCCTTAAGGGTTCAAGGTAGAGTTGACTTCTGGTATTTCTTCACTGGCCTGCCAGCTGGATTGCTACTGCTTTGTTGAGCCAGACAATAGAGATAGTGGTTTAACATCTGACACTATGAACTGGGACGCACCGGGGTTGAACCTTTAATAAACTTGTACCCGCCTTTTCAAGGGCCTAGAGAGTCTTCCTGGAGAGCTGCTACATACCTAAGGGTGAGCTGTGGCAGCAATGGACTCTTCAGGCCTCCTCAAGCAGGAAGGAAGGAGTGGACACAGAAAATGGAGGCAGGACCCACCATCAGAGTGGTCTAACCCTGCTCTCTACTGCATGGGGAAACCTAAGGACAGCCAACATCTGGTGCATGTGTGCATGCATGCGTGTATATGCGCATGCGTGTGCTGGGTGGAGGGGTTGGTGTTGAACTTTGAACTTCTACTCCCAGCACCAGCAACTTCAACTAGTCATTCAACTTTTTTTTTTTTTTTTTAAATCAAGTACCCACTCTCCTTCAGTTAACTCATTATTATTGTCTTCATCTGTTTTCCTTCGTGCTGACAGATGTATTTTAAAGACGGGTCTATACTGGTCACAGTACGCCACAGAATGCCGTATCGGAGTACATGAAAATAGCTGTGCTATGTGTAGATGTGTGTAGATGTCTAAGGACAAGGGTTCTCTTTTCATCTGTGTTAGGGTGCACCCGACTCCACTTGAAATAATTCCCCCAGGACACATTCCACCTCACACTTCCAAGGTAGAGCGAGATCACAGTGGTGTAATGACCCAGCGTCACCCATTCAGACCAGTGTGGTTTCTATGTGCAACCTGGAAGTGGTCAGAGATTATTAGCATCATCCCCGTGGGCAGGTAGTAGGCGGTCTGAGCACGTGGAGGAGGAATGTTGGAGAAATGCAGGCAGAGAGGTACATTTGGGAGGCAGTTCACAGCTTCCACGAGTGCAAAGGGACCATATGGTCATTCAAACCGGATTCAGAATTTCAAATACTAAATTTGGATACCAGCAAATGAAGAGAAAAACATCTGGAACATGGATAAATGAATCAATGTTTTCTTAATCAACTGGATCTTGATTAAATTATGAATAAATGCCTGATTTTTTTTCTGAGCTTTCTGGTCTGGAAAAGAAATCACTTAGGGTGTAAACTGAGTATAAAAATTTAAGATCTGTGTAATATTTGGGTCCCTAACAATTTCTTATCTTTTGAACAAATTCACGTCCCCCTAAAAGTACCCAAACTTAAATCCGGTATTTTGTAATTGACAAAGGAAGCAATTGTTCATGCAAGAAAAAAAAATCAATCGTTGGTCTATTGTTAAGCATACAAAGAAATCAAAATGGGGAGGAAGAAAGAATAGTTCTACAGAAAAGGTTTTCCACAAATAGACACAAGTTAAAAAGTTCTGTATTGAGGCTTTATAGAAAGATATTTTCAAAGTTTTAAATTTCGAATTGAAATTATCTTCTTAAAATATGGAATAAAGATTTGGCTCAAATTTATAAAATTCCAATGGGAAAAGCGTGTTTTCTCAAACTTTTCACTATAGATAATATATTGAATTTTCATATTGTTCTCAAGCTTATTAACTTTAGACTTTTTTTTCTTGACATACTCCAAGATCCTGCTTTTTCAGAAACTAGGCCATATGCCACTAAATGAAGACAAGCTAATTCTGCAAGCAGCCACTGTATATGAACAATGCCTACTTTCCAAAAGGGTTAACACGAACTCCGTAATACGCACAGCTCCATGAATATGCATCGAAAGCAAAAGGCATTCTGAGCTATGAATGTAGAACACAAAGCTCTGCTTCGTGCATTTACTTCGGATCCCATAATTCTCTAATATATATTCACAGACCACATCTTAACTGTAGCAAGCCCTTCTATCTGTCAGACAGAATGCATGAAAGGAATACTGAGATTAACGGCATCAGGGGCATTGATAAACCTCCAGATTTCTGGCTGTGTGTTTGTCTTCCAAGTGGCCATCGGAAAGCAATATTGAGCTGACACTGATATTTTAGGGGAGAGGGGTGGTACTGGGCCTTGTGACAACTGATCTTGTCACTGAACTATACCCCCAGCACAGAACTTACTTATTAAAAGATGAAAGCTCATAGAACCTTTTGAAGGAAACTTCTCAGAAATTGCAGTAGAGCTATTGGAGACCCCAAGTCAAACGAGAAGCCAAAAATAGAATAAAATGTTCACATCACCCTAACCTATAGCTCTGGTTTTGGAGCTGATTTCCCAATGCTGCTCTGCTAGTACAGGGACCCCCTGAAGGAGCACTCAGGACAAAAGGCTGTGCACGGTATATCCGAGGCCCAGAGGGGGAGTGGGGTAGTGGCACCGTGTGGCAAGCAGGTACCTGGAGCATGAATCTCCTGCACTATTCAGAGGAGAGGTATTTATGAGTCACACTTAAAGCAGCCCAGGACCAGGATAAAGTAGTCTATGCCTGACCAGGGTGGAATCTTCAGAAGATGGCAGAAGGCAGACATGGTCCAAGGTATTGGGCAGAGGTTATATAATTAGAAGCTTAATGCCTTTCATTGAAAGAGGAAGAAAGAAAAGGAGAAAGGAAAAACTAAGAGTAAAAGGACAACTCTATCAAAGAAAACATACTTCAAGCATAATTTTTAAATACGCTCAATAAGTACCTCCATTAGGGAAGACTGAGAACCAAGCCAACTAAGCTACTTAAATGGCATGGAGTTAGAACTTTAACATCTGTAGGCGAGGATGAAAACTTTTAATCCTAAACATTAACCATTGCATTAAATGGTTTCAAGGAACAACCCGTGTTGAGCTCTGCTCATCCGTGCAGGGATTATACAATCTCAGCGCCCTGGCTAAGTGTTCATGGTTTATTATTATTGCACTAGTAAGCCTCTTGCTGAAGATGGGGCTCATGGGTTCACACGGAAATAAACTGAACCCTTCTCCTCCCACACTACAGTAATAGGACAACTTATTCTGGAGGCAGGAGTCCAGCAGGTCTAAATCACGCACCAGGCTCTTAAACATCTGGTGGCAGAGATCATTTGGCTCCGAGGACACCACTACCATCTTTAAAAGGAGACCCCTAGTCTAATTCCAGAGACAGGACTCCAAAGTGTGGTGCTGAGAAACCATCCCAGAAAAAGGAGGAAGTCACACTATAGAACAAAGTGGTTTATAAAGTTAGTCAGGTGACCAGATTTCACAGATAATTTTTGCTCTTGGTCTATTCTTCTCACTTGGGTGGAAGATGGAAGTGGTGAGCACACGGCAGTAAGGCAGCCCATAGCTAGGAGAATGACTTGCAGATGAATGGAGGAAGAGGCAGCAGGGATACCCAAGCGGAACACTTAAGTATTACTAAAAAGCCTCTGCTGGGCTTTCTAAGATCAGTCAGAGGATGGAGCTCAGGGCAGAGTGATATTCCATACATCAAATATCTCTCTGTGTGCATCCGCGTAATAGATATGCATATTTGCATATAACTATATGGCACACAAAATGTACTCGGGGAAAACAGCCTGGAAATTAATTGAACTCAAATGACATGGTTACACATAGATCATAGTTTCTAAACACAATGTTAGTAAAACAAAATTTATTTGTAAAACAGGACCTGTTATATAAAATGACACACAATCAAGTTATACAAAAATACAAATTTTCTTTCTGATTACAGTTCTAGTTGCAAATGATAATTAGAAAGCATTCCTGGTGGTTTCCAGTAGCTGGAATTGCGAGCACATGGAACAGGGGCAGCAAGAGTCCATGATGCAGGGACGTCCAAGTGAGCAGAACCTGATTCCCAAGTTCAAGTCCGTCATCACGTCACTTTGGAGGGACACCTCCTAAAATGGCTAGCTCCTGGAATGTCTTCTGCTGGGAGACCCATCTTCCAGGCTTCTGCCCATTCTAACTTTAGTTCTCAATGTGTCTGAATGTCCGAAATCTGGGCGGCTATGAGCCACACGGTACTCTGATTTTCCCCCCTCTCACCTACTAGGACAGTTGTTAGGTTACATAATTAAATTCCATTTCAAATGATATAAAAGACAGCGACACTATTTGGCAACACTAGATGTTAGATGTTAATTTCTGGCAAATTGTTATTTCGCAAGCGCTATGCTCTCAACACTGGTTTCCCGGATCCTGCTTAGAAATGAACTCTTAACTGTGTGTGTGTGTGGTTTGTTGTCATTTTAATCCAGACTCTTATTGCAAATACTCTGAAGATTCAGAAATATTCATGAGCTTTGAAAAGAAACCAAGGCATTTAGCAGAATTTAGCCTAGCTAGATTAAAGAACACCAGTACTTAAAAAAGAAAATACAATTTACCTTTTGCAGCAATTTAAAGGTCCAACCCTTTGAAAGGAAGCACATTAGCAAACAGCTGCTTAGTGAGCCCTCGGGACGTTGTGTGCAATTCCATAACACCAGTCTAATTCACTGTCTAGGTCTGGTAGGCAATGCTTTCTTTCAAAAGATTCTCCTTCCATGGAATGATAAATGCTGAGGCTTTTTTTTTTTTTTTTACAGAGCCTGTATTTAGTGCAATAAGTTTAAAAAATTTGCTCTGAAATATTTACTTTACATTAACAAAAATAGCTTTTTTAAAAAAATTGTAACAAAAAGGAGTTATCGCATAAACAGATCATGAATTATTCTTAGCAAATTACACTTTTTTTTCTTAAAGCATTCACCATTACAATAAGCAGAACAATGGAATATTAGCCATTCATATCTGGTAAGCTTTAGGAATGGAAAAAAAACCCAGCAAAACATAATACCCCAGATGTACCCCCAAACGTAAAGAACATTCACACTTGAGGATTAACACTAACCAGTTCTTCGGTTACACGTTGTAGAACTCTGGATACTCAACGGATGACCAAGGAGTGGAGCACCTGCCAGTGTGTTCAGATTTTATAGCGAGCATTTGAACAGATGGCCGTTTAACCCTAAGCTCCTGACCTGCCCCTGAAACGAAAGCAAAGCACTGGGATTCCCAATGCTTCCTGCTCCGTGTTTCTCTCTCTTTCATGCCTTCTAGAACTACCTAAGCTGAAAATCAATACACAGAAACGTAAAGGCTAAACTCGCTGGGTGCCCCAGCTTCCTTTAAAATCAGGCCCACAGATGTGTGGTGGATGCTACTAAAACGTCAGAAAGGAAAAAGACGAAATACAAGAAAAAAGTTTGCATAATAAAGATTATCTACCCCTTTCTTTCTCTGCTTTCCTACTTCCTTCTATAGAAGCGTTAGGGCAAACTACAAATACCTGAGGAGTTGGTTACTTTTGAATGTCAGCTAACAAAATGCATGAGCTATTATGAAATTTCCCAAAACGGGCCCACTCAGATGCTTCGGAAAGTAAAATGACATGGCTTGTTGGATTGGGGGACACAGACTGAGCGCACACGCCTAGCCTGACACGCTAGGACTTATGCATCAGTGAAATAAGATTCTGATTTTAACGTACACTGGGGCAATCACCCCTGCAAGAACTTACACAAGAATTTGGTACAGTAATTTTTACCTAGGTCAAGTAACTAAAGTTAAAATTTCCTCTAGTTATTAAAAATGTTAATCAGATATGAATCTAACATTTCCATTAAGACAATTACAATTGAAAACATTAAACGACGGAAGTTGCCTTGTAAAAGCCACCCGTATGAAAGGAGTACATGTTTGACAAAAATAAGCATAAAAAAGGTATTAAATCCCTGTTCCTTTTCTCTGATTTTGGCTGATTATGTGTGTGTGTGTATATACATATACATATATATACACACATACATATACATATATACACACACCCACACACACAAATACATAGTTATGTGTATATATTGTTTTGGAATGTCAATGGGGGTCCATAACCGCCGGCTATGTTCAAGCAGAACTTGCTCCCGAAGCCTAGAAGACAAAGTCATACAGAGTATAATCTTAGAAAATTACCATTGAAAGGAGATATGAATGATGCTATTAGCATACACACATGGTCACAACAACAAGAAGGCAAAATAAGTTGAGACTCCTCTCTTGAATCTAGGATGCTGGGATACTGCAGGCCATACTTCCTTCAGGGTCACCAGAGAGACACGCATAGCCTACTCCCCCACTACTGCCGCTCACTCCCCCAGAGAGCTTGGGTCTCCCCTCTGAAACCTTATCCTTGAATGGCAGCAGACAGCCAGATCTCCAAAGCATTACATTCAACAAACTCTTCTAAGAATTGGAGAGAGACCTCAAGAATCTTAAAATGTTTTTTACACTAGTGGGGCTCTCTTAAACAGTTCAAAAAGAAAAGTGGCAGCTTCTTATTTAGTGAACACAATCCCCTATTAAGTGGACAATCTGACAACCTCATTTTAAAAAAATATTTGTACAGGATAAAAAAAAATCTAAATGAAAACAGCTCATATGGAGGGAGACAGGCAGCAGTGGATGTTGCTATACATATTACATTACAAAACAGACATGATTCTCTCTCATGGAGAGCTTTCGCCAGAAGAGGACCCCAGCACATGAGAACACGTGGTTCACGTTCAGTGGTGAAGGTCTCAGGTGATTCCTTACAACACGAGGGCTGGGGGACAGCAGGCGTCAACTCTGGTCATTTTTACTGGGCATGAGAAGAAATGTTCAATGTCATGCTTAAGAAGAGCAGCTGGCCTCTGACATTCCCCACTGCTCTGGGGGTGGGGGGGTCTTCTCTACTTACAGTGAGAGACATTCTTGGAGGTCAAAGGCTGTAGTGCCCAACACACCAGAAGGACAATGCACACAAAAGATGTGTTTGGGGACTGAGCTTGTAGAAAAAGCTATGAACTGATGAACAACATAAAGTGAAGGCAAAACCCAAATGAAGATCTTAACATATTTCTTGGGGAGCCGGTCACAGCCAAAAACTGGAAATACTATTGAGAGAAGGCTGTGGGTTCTAACAGAAAGCTAAGAAACTTGGGCGATTCTCTTAGGGTTAGTGTCTATAAATTAGGGTTTCTGGTAGGGAAGGGATATTGTATTCTGGTCTACCACAAGTTACTTTCTACTTACTAAGAGTCATGTTGGAAATACATTCCAAGGCCATGGCCAAATTGGCTGGTCTTCAAATTCAAATATTTCCACCTTTCTTAAAATGTTTATTAATGAATATTGATTTAATGGAGGCTTCAACTTCCACAAAGGAGGGAGAGGCAAGCTAGGCTCTTTACAGGTTTTTTTTTATGTACGTATGCATGTATATGTATATACACACACACATACACACACGCCCCTTTAAAGTTTTAGGCTTAGATTCTTTATTTCCTAAACAATGAGGACATCCAGGCAGTAGAAGTGACATTCTTCATGTCACTGCTGGGTTGGCAGCATGGTTCTAGTTAGACCAGTATAGATTTGAGACATGTGCTATTACACTCCAGGAGAACATCTACAAGAGAAACAACTCGGGGGTACTAAGCTGATCGTCACTCTGCTCTGCCTAAGTATTAGTCATCTCTCTGTCTAAATCTATTATCATCTGTGGCTGATGGGAAAAACGGATTACTTTTACAGCTAAGGTGTGAGAAGAGCAGGCTGTCTTACCAAGATGGAATGTGGCTATCGATGGAAATCTCCTTGTTTGCAGGCGAAAGGAACTCAAAACCAAACCAAATAAACAAACAGACAGAAATAACAACAGCAAAGAAAGTACATTCTGAGCAACAGAAGAAAAAGTCCGCAAAGAGGCAAAGACGGCAATGTAAACAGAACTTATCGTTTTTTAAAAAAGGAGGAACATGAACTTCAGCGAGCTGAAAGGAACTTCCGGGGTCACCTTCCACAATGATGAAAACGAACTGCTGCTAGAAGCATGCCCCTCAATGCCCAGTGGGAAGACAACTATACACTGACAGCCAGAAAACAAAGGACCAGTTCTGACTGGAGCAAGCCATCACCCCTGGCCCTGAGCCTGGCAGGGGCGCTGTTCCTTTCAGCTCACTTTGACAGATGGTCGTCTCAGCTGGGACACGAGTTCTGCCATCCACGTGATGGGTAAGCAGACAAACAGAAAGAGCAGCATGTCCTGCGTGATACAGATGACAAACGCGTCTCCAGAGGACGTGCAGTCAGTGAGGACAGAGAGAGACAGGTAGTGAAAGTGGAACTCGTGGAGGGCGGCCACCTCCTCAGCGCCACCTACCATGGGCTTTAGCTCTCTGGCATCGGCGACGCCTCCCTTACCAGCTTCTTTCATTGCCTTCCTACTGGTTTCCACAAATTCCTGCAAGACATGGACCGCATGGCATTACTGGGGGATCTTTCCAGATTTCAGTCAGCAGGTGAATTTTAATGATGCAACCTTATGTGCTAAACAATACTTGAGTGAACAGGTAAATTACTGAATTTGTCAGGATGGATTGCAATTCACAGATGTAAAGTCTCCTCTGTATTCCCAGCCTGACATTCTCACTATGGCTCCAAGAGATAATGTTGGTTCTAACCAACAGTTTTAGGAGCGTGATTTTCCCCACACTGAGAATATCTCGTTTGTTTAGTTTTGTTTTCCATATGAAGATAAAATGAACCAAAAATAGTTTGCTTCAAAAGCTTCTGGTTTGTAACTATATATATGACAGGGTTTCACTATGCAGCCCCGGCAGCCTGCCACTCGCTCTATGGCCCAGGCTGGCTTTAATCTCACAGCAATTCTCCTGCACTGCCTAGGATTATAGATGTGCACCACCACACCCCACTCATCAGCCTCTGCTTATAACAAAGACCTAGAACGCAGTTCTAGTAAGCATGAAATACCTTAAAAAAAAAAAAAAAAAAAACAGCACCCCTACATCCCGGAAACCAAAACGAAACCACAGGTCAGCTACTTTCAAAGTCTCTCTCTAGCCTTAGCATCCCGTCCTTATCACCCGTATCCTGCTATTGCCAGCTCTAGCTAGTGCTCTGTGAAGCAGAGCCATGGAGGCATCAACCATAAAGTGTGGTCCGAAGAGGTTAGAAGAGGCGTCTCCCCAGGGGCTGTGCTGCCCTATCAAAGCCTGTAGCGTACTCCTCCCCAGTACCCTCAGCATCCCTACAGAAGAAAACCAAGGAGGAAAACTGTTTCTGTCAGAGCATGGCGGTTCCCGCCTCCAAGTCCAACACCAGGGAGATGGAGGCGGGGAAAGCACACGTTCAAGGTGAGCATGGACTACATAGAGTTTATCTGAAAATAAAATTGATTAACAGCAATGTCCCTTGAACTGCTCTATCACAGAAGACCGAAATGCAGGTGCAACTCCACAGAAAACAACCAGACAGAATTCACTGAGGACTTAGGAAAGCATCCAACGTTTAGTTCACGATGCTCTAAGCCAGGGACTATCAGTATCAAACAGCTCAGTTCAATTACCGTCAATTTTTCACTACTGAACTAAAAAAAAAAAAAAAAAAGTTATTCACACATTTACTTCAGATTCAACTGGATACCCCACACTGTGAAAAAATGGCTCATTGTCTCAATGCACCATATTCAGTCTTTAAGTATCTTTAGTATGGTGCCATTTAGCAACAATAAAACTGAATTTACAGCGATTTTAAAATATTTTAATTTTTTAAAAACATTTTATGCACATGTACATATGTGCACCATGTGTGTGCAGGGCCCAAGGAAGCCAGAAGAGGGTGTGGGACCCCCTGGAGCTGAAGTGCCAGAAAGTTCTGCAGGAGCCATGGGAGTGCTGGGAGCTGTCAGCTGGTCCTCTGCCTGAGGGGCGCATACTCATAACCACTCTCCAGGACCTCGGAGCCTTTTAATATGGCTTTCAGATTGTTCCCAAATTCAACCGACTTTCTAATACAGACAAACTTCGGGGGCTGCATAGATAAATATGGATACAGTATGCTTATGAAGAGTCAGTACAAAAAACTTTTGACATTGTATTCCCTGTATTCATTGGGAATGCCTTTAACCTGGCCTGTGCATTTACCCAGGGTCAATGGTAATAGCCTTGGATAAGTGGTTGCTGGAGAAAGGCAATCAGGATAGGAAAACAAGGGCTTTGTCTTTAAGAACTACTTCAGGTAGGACACTGGGATCAGTGGCTAGAAGACATGTTTTAAAAGTCCATTCAAATCTGTGTAGTGCAGAGAGGGCAGACAGGATGGAAGAGTTTTTAGAACTATTGAGACCATTCTTCAGTAGGCAGATCTGAAATGGTCTCTTCCATACCGGGAAGACCTACCTCAATTTTTCCAAGACAAACTTGACTTGTGATTAAGTCCTACAGTGTTAGTACCGGATTCTCTGTGGGAATCAACCACACTGTGTTTTTGAAAACACTGTTCCCACTTTTACCCCTCAAGTCGTGGAGAACGTTTCAAGCACTTACCATCAGCACTTTATCCATATAGAATTCCCGGCCAGGGCTCCCGTCATTATATTTTGTATCAATGGCAAAACACAAGAACAATACATCCACTACCATTTCGTAAATGGACAGGAAGCAATGGGCGACTAGGAAAGCAAAGAGGCAGACGATGATCAGAGGCAGCACCCATACTGTGTAGTCTTGCTGGTAGTTGAGCAGCATAATGCCAGCCAAGCCCGTGCTGCAGACTATCAGCACCTGGAGCAGAGAGAGCAGAGACCACACTTAATACCCCACGGCCGCCAGTAGTGCGTCTTCATCGCTGCAGACTTAAAAGAACTCTTCGTCAGTGACGGGTGCACATGGCTGTCCCACCTCAAATTAAAATGTACATGCTACCTATAACTACACAGAAAGTCACTCACAGGCCTCACATAAATCTAAGAACACACAGTAGATGATTTATGCTTACATTAAAGGCAACTCAGTTTTCCAAATGTCATATGGTTCATGAAAAAACCTTACCCACTCAGAATCTAGTAATAAATTTTGAGATAAATGCGTGAATATTTTTAAAAAGTTGGGTTAAGTGTATAAAATTGTTGATGTTGGAATTGATATTTTTTTTTTTTTGGTTTTTCGAGACAGGGTTTCTCTATGGTTTTGAAGCCTGTCCTGGAACTAGCTCTTGTAGACCAGGCTGGTCTCGAACTCACAGAGATCTGCCTGCCTCTGCCTCCTGAGTGCTGGGATTAAAGGCGTGCGCCACCACCACCCAGCTGATATGTTTTTTTAAAAAGTATTCCTACATATATGAATTATATTATATACAAAAACAATAAAAAACTTTTCATTGCAATCTGGAGTAATATTATAAATATTTGGCAAATACTTCCTTAATTGTATAATTTCATCTTCTAAGTGATTCAGAACTTATTTAATCATTTCCCTACTATTAGAGATTTATAGTGTTTTCATATATAAATGATACTGCAACAACCAACTCTATTCTTCAAAGTTGTCCTCTGTTTCATATTTTATTTCATGTGGAATATATGGTAACTATAATGTAATTTTCCATGAAGCTTAGGTTGGGACTACGTGTGAAGCAAAAATTGCCCGGTATATCCACATCCATGCTAAAACCGAAAGAAAAATCAGCTTGGTCATTGTGAAGAACCATCGAAAGCTTCCTTGTCACATGCACTTCAGAGTTCTTTTTAAGGCATTTTATTTCAGCTTACCAATAATGTTAAAAATACTTGATGCTAAACATTATCAACCCCATTTCTCAGACTGAGGGACACGGTCGGAAGTATCAGCCAACCTATCCAAGGCCACGGAGTAAGGAAAAAGCTTATTTTACTGTTTTAAAAGTAACTTTCAGTGTTATAATGTTATTATTAAAATTTTTATTTTTATTTTATGGGTATGCATGTTTGTAAACATGTATTTATGTGCACCACATATGTGCCTGTGCCCCTGCAGAGACCAGAAGAGAGTCTCCCTGGAACTGGAGTTAATAGATGTTTGTGAAACACTGGTGGATTCTGGGAACTGGACCAGCGCCTTGTGCAAGAGCAGTAAATGCTCCTAACCCCAAAGCTATCTCCAGCCTCCACTTCTCTTACTATTAAAATTTTAATTTAGTAAATCACATTAAGAACCCCAATCAATTCCACTTCTGGATGTCTAGGACTGAATTAAGCCAGCAATAATTAACATGGGAGAATTTACACAAGAAATTTCATTGTAATATAACTTAACTAGTTTAACTGTTTTTTTGTTTTTTTTTTTTTTTAAAAGGCTCACCAGAGAAATGGTCAAGAAATGACACAAATGTATAACCACATTTAGGAAATTTTTACTCAACTTGAAATGCTTATAGTCTCAAGTGGAAAGAAGGAGAGCGATTTCTCCTTTCCCCACCACCCAAGCTGGTTAGCACACAGACAGCGCCCAGGATTCGAGCACATCACAGGCAAACAGTCTGCATCTGTGGAGCGAATAAACGATATGACAAATCCAAAGGAAACCTTTCAGGAGGATTACTAGCATGTTAGAAGCAGAACTCACAAAGTTAATTAAAAACCACTGCATTTCGCTGTCTGCAAAGTCTTCCTTATAGAAGGGATGCACGCTGAATGGACAGAGAATTGTCTTTAGGGAATCTAACGGGGAGGAGTGCGGGGTATCCAGAGTCAATGTTCTGAGACCAGCCTTAGTTCTTCTAATGGACACTTTAGTTGACTTATTGGTTTTTTGTTCAGGGGTGCTGGAGATCATGCCTAGAGCCTTGTGCATGCTCAGTACACGCTTGCCACCAAGCTTCAGCTCTCATCGGTGACACACGCTTTTACATCTTTTTTTTTTTTTTTTTTTTGGTTTTTCGAGACAGGGTTTCTCTGTGGCTTTGGAGCCTGTCCTGGGACTAGCTCTGTAGACCAGGCTGGTCTCGACTCACAGAGATTCGCCTGCCTCTGCCTCCTGAGTGCTGGGATTAAAGGCGTGCGCCACCATCGCCCGGCTTGACACATGCTTTTTAAACACTATTGTGACAGCCCACTAGGTTTGCTCAACCTTTCCACTGACTGCATTATATACATTTCTTCATCATATTTGAAACTCACAAAAAGATAATGGTTTATTAGGCTGGATCTTAAATTTAGTCATTTCGCTAGTACTTGGCATTACACTATTTACAAAGGGTTCCTATTATAAATAAAGATACATTTATTTTGTATTTATAACTGTTTTCAGGGGTCTTTGTAATAATGATTGTTCATGGTCAGATCAGACAAGTCAGAATATCAACTCCAGTCTTGCCAAATTCAAGTGCTCAAAATGTGGCCAACTAACGACCTCTCTACACTTTGGTTCCGCCTGCTACAAAATATAAAGATAGCAGTAACAGGTCACCTTCCATGGGATGATCGGAACCTCCAGGTAGTATAAGTCCTCCTCATTCATCCGCCATTCCCTCTGTGCTCCTCCCCCACCCTCCCGTGTGTTCATTCTATTTCAACGATAGGGATAAGTTATAAATTTGTAAATAAAAATAATACAAATAAAACAAAGAATCTAAGCCCTTGCTGAATCACCAGGTGTCGCATTCAGTCCACACCGTAAAGCTCTGTTCTTGGCCCTTAGGGACCACTGACTGATACATTTCACCTTTACTGTAAAAAAATGCCCTCTCCTATAAAAACATGCCACAAGCAAATCTGTGACAATGTAAACTTTAATTACAGATATTCAAAGTAATTATCCTTAACTGTTTTCAGACGACAGCTCCCCATGAAGCTGCGCACTTCAAGCTGCGTAAAGCTGTGCTTCCACCACACCAATGTTTTTTCCTTTTCAAAACCCAGTGTTTAAGAATGGTGCTTAATGGGACAGTGACCCATGAGTAGATGGAGATCATCAAGGCAAGACAGGGAAGGTGTAGGAGACTACGAACAGAAAGAACAGGAACAACAGGTCACAGGCCGTGACAGCTCCACCACAGAGACACAAAGCTGTGACTTCACTGGTGGGTCAAAGGCACCGTGAGGAACATTCTAGTGATGCTGCCTCTCTACAATCCTTTCCTTCTTTTCCAGTCTCCTAAGTAGCTTCTGGTGCAGTGAAATCTAAGCACAATGCTATTTATGATTTAGTAGATTTTGGTGGCACAGAATAAACTCTTTTCTCGGCTCTAAAGAAAGTAGGTCTTGTTCCCTAACAGCTCTATTTTAAAAGGATTTTTATATAATAACATCTAACATTAAACCCAAAACTGCTAACATTCACCAAAAACTAACAATGTGTCAAGCACTGTCCTAGATACCCTGCATGTATTAACCAGTTTAAGCCTCACCATCCTATAAATATGTCCCTATTCTTATCCCAACTGTACCAATAGTCACACAACCAGTAGCAGGCAGCAGCACGATAGAAATCCAGGAAGCTAGACTCCAGGCTCCAAGTGCAATCTTGCCCCTGCAGTAGCTACTTTTCTGTTGCTATGACCAAGAGCAACATGGGAAGGAAAGCATTCATTTCATCTTGTACTTTCAGGCGACAGTCCACCACTGAAGGCAGGCAGAGCAGGAACTCAAGCCAGGAACCTGGAAGCAGGGACTAAAGTCATCGAGGGTGATGCTCACTGGCTTGCCTCTCGTGATTTGCTCAGCCTACTTTCTTATACAACACAGGACCGCCTACCCAGGGACTGGGCCTTCGCTTTCAATCACTAATGAAGAAAATGCTTCCAAAGACTTACCTATAGATCAATCTTATGTAGGCATTTTCTCGGTTAAGATTCTCTCTTCACAGATAGGTCTATGTTTGTGATAATTTGACAAGAAGCAGTCAAGACAAGCCTCATCACTACAAAGACTGTTTCCTAATTCTTTTTTCTATGTGTGGTTTTGGGGATTGAGGCTGTAGCTCTGCATAGGCTGGCAAGTATTTAACCAGCTATATCCCTCCCAATTCCTTCTTAAAAACAAAAACAAATAACACACACCTTTAATCCCAGCAGACACAGGTGGGTGGGTCTCTGGGAGATCAAAGTCAGTCTGACCTACAAAGTGAGTTTCTGACAGCCAAGACTATACAACAGAGAGAACACCCCATCTCTCAAGCTATCTAGCTATCTGTATGCATATAGATATGTGTATATAGATCTATACATATGTATCTATGGATATAGACAGACATGGTTTCTATAGATATATACATATCTCTACATATGTATCTATGGATGTGGAGAGAGACAGTGAAAATTGTGCACATGCATCATCACGGGGAGGGAATGCCCATGCCATGACATACATATTGGGGTTAGAAGACAAGCATGTGGAACCTTTACATTGCTGCTGGCTCTAGGGATCGAACTCAGGTTGCCGGACTTGTGCAGCAGGTGCCTTTACCCACCGAGCTACCTCACCATCTCTCCTAATTTGTTATAGTTCACAACATATACAGAGAAATAGGCTGATAATTCAGCCTTGCTGTACCAGTACTCCTGTTAACTGAGAAGAACAGCTTAACTCGTAAATTTATTATGAAGATTAAATGAACATAATACATATGAAGTAAATTAAGAAGTATCTAATGCATAATCAAGGTGTTATAAATGTTTGCCACATAGCAAATGACTTCCAGTTTTGTGCTAGGCTAGGTAGTTTTTTTAAATTAAAGAACAAAACTTCATACATTTACTCAGACATCCCGCTTGTCTCAGACAATGCAGCTGGTCTTACCTTGCCTAGGAATAACATGAAGTCCCCCACTGTGTTGATGGCAGCCACTCGCAAAGCATTCTCCACCAAAATGACAAAGGCATCCTTTGCTGAGGTGCAGAAGTTGGTGCTATTGATAGCCGTGGCTGTGTATGCATTCTAGACAAAAGGGAAAGACTTTTATCGTCACCAGAAACGCACTTTGGAAAGACACAAACCATGCACATTGTTTGCAATGCACCGTGTGAAGAGACTTCAGTCAAGCACACAGCTTTCATGAGACGTAAAGACTGGGCACAGAACATGATGGACAGAGGGATGAATGAATGGATGGACGGATGGGTGGATGGAAACTGCTACAGTCAAAGGAGCCCCTTTCCAGTCCTCTTAGTCTGGCCCTGTAAAAACACTTACTAACTAACTAACACACAAATACATACACACACACACACACACACACACACACACACACACACACACAGTCTGACATCCGTGAACTTTCTGTCTTTTGGAAACTACACATAATTTAAACTTTCCTGGGTGTCTCAAATTGTGACTGGAAGGATCAGGGGTGCACTGCTAACCATTTCTGTGTTGGCTGAAAAATGCAGAGCGTTCCAGAGCTGAGGAGAAAGAAGTGCAACTGAATAGGTCACTGCCTGTGGTGTCAGTGGGGAGTCACAGCACTCTGAGCAACTCAGCATGACTATGAGAGAAAGATTGTCATCGTAAAAACTGGGATAATTTACTACCTGAATGTTTATTTCAAAAGCTAAAAGATGCAGTGTATCTTTAAGTCACAATATTATTTTTCTATTAGCATTCATTCATTCATTCATTCATTCACATTGTTTCCTTACACTGCCATCTGCCCACACGTCTTATCGGTTAGAAGAGGGCAGGGTACAAAGAATCAATCACCTAGCTGCAGTGCTCCACATGGTTTTTTTTTTTTCTATCTTCTATGAAAACTCCTTTTGAAACATTTTGCAAAATGCCTGAGTGAAGTAAAAATAAACCATACCTTGAACTTGTGTTACAGTCATAGTTGGAAAACTATGGGAAGCAACTGTTCCAGCAAGACTTGCTCTCAAAGAACACAGAACGGTTCCCAGTGCTCACTGGCTCCCTAAGCACTCAGAAGAATACCCATCTAGCCATGATTCCAGAGCAGAGACGGTCAGGCCACCACCTGAGGGCTCTGGCTGTGCCTGGCCTGTTGGCAGCATTTAAAAATAAGGTTTTATAAGACAATGTACTGATAAAATTTGGCAGCAATGAGCACTTATGACTAAGACCACATGGCCCTTACGACCCAGATATTTTTCTGGTTCTTTCCAGAAAAAGAAACTGGTCAGTCTCTGTTCTGCAGTACTGCCAAAGATCCACACTAAGCTAGGTACAGGTTACAGGACCTCCTCTTCAAGTTTTTACAGCTTATGATGCTTTAGCATAATATTTTATTATAATTCTTTTTTTTTTTTACTTCCCATGTAGGTGCTGTGAACCAAACCTAGAGCACAAATGCTCCAAGCAGTGATCTAATAAACTATGGCCCCAGACCTTCACAAATCTCTTATTGATCTATTTACTTCATTGTTGAGATAAAAGTTCTTGTTGTGTCGACTGATCTCAAACTTGCTATATGGTCCAAGAATGGCCTTGAACTCCTGATCCTCCTGCCGCTACCTCCATAGTGCTTGGATTATAGTCATGCAATACCATGCCTGGCTAATTCTTCAATGCACTAATTTACAGGAAGACGTCTTCAGTGATATGGGATGTAACTCCCTTGAAGAGAAGAGTCTTACTTCCTTATCTGTTTATTTTTCCAGTGCTTGTACTTGTTAGGTGAATGCTTTACCAGTGAGCCATATCCTCAGCCCTAATCTCCTTTACTGTAAGACAAGATAAAGAGACTATGAACCAGTTATTAACAATGTGTTTCCAGGAGAAAACACCCTCCCACACCAAGGACCCAGGTCGGGTTGCCAGCACCCAGCACCCCGTGGTGAGTCACAACCTCACAACTGTCCATTAAAAGCCAGCTGCAGAGGATCTGGTGCCCTCTTCTGGCCTCTGCAGGCACTAGGCATACATATATGCATGCAAAGATTCATACACATAAAAGTAAATAAAAAATCTAGTAAGGTTCCATGAGCTGCAGAAAAAAAATCTAGTAAGAATGCATCCTGATTTAAAAATCATTATAATGTCCTAAATTAAGAAAAGTAGGCAACTCATTAATTAATTAATCTTTTTTTAAAATTTTTTTAAAACAGTTTTACTGTAGATCTCAAGTTGGCCTATAACTCACTAGGTACCTTGAACTTTTGATCATCCTGCCTCAGCCTCTTAAGTGCTAGGATTACAGGTGGAGCCACGGTGCCTGGATAGGAAATCGTATTTAAACCAATGAGGTTCATAGGAACAAATCAGGTTTAACTGTGATGTACCCATGTCCCAGTTCCACCAGGAGTCCCCTCGAGTCAGGAGGCTTCATGTACCAATCCCCATCTCCTCTGTTACCATTGTTATCACTGCCTCCAGCAAGGATTCAAGCCTTAGTAACTAAACCATAAATGCTTCTGAGTTCATCGAGAATCCATTATTTGTTGTAGTCTATAGCTTGAAACAAGGAAATGTGAGCTGTTTGAATATTTTCTATAAAAATGTACTTTGTGTTCTTTAAGTACACACACACACACACACACACACACACACAATACATGTACTATTAGCGGTAGTAGGAGATAAGGCTCCTTCCACCTCGAGAACAAGCAATGCGCTACAACGCTCCAGTCTCCAACGCTCTTCTACAGCCCAGGAAATACTGCCTATTTTTAGAGCTGTACTGGGGAACTGCTAACGTAAAAGAATACCAAGTATGCTGGGCACGTGTGTGTTGTGGTACACAAAAAATGTCTTGCTATGACTCCTGCTCCCAGAAAACAACCTGTATGGTTCTAGGTGCTCACCAGCCGGCACACAGTGTTAAACTGTTAGTCCCACACGCTGCCGGAGGAGAGCCAGACCAGCACGGTCCCAAGCCCGAAGGTAAACATGTTCTGCCGGGAGCAATCCCTGCACTGATGTGAGTTCAGACAGACTGGATGTGCCGTCACCTTCATGTCACAGCCAGCACTGGAGAACAAGAAGCAGTTCATAGGTGGCTGTTTGTACAACTCCACTCTATCAATAATAAATGGCGTCTCAATGCTGCTCTGCAAACCCTCCAGAGCAGCAGCAAACCATGGCCCGGGGATAACGGACACCACGGCCCTAAGAACGCTTTGCCAGCCTCTGAGAAGACAGCAAGGGCTCTGCCTCAAGCAACTGGCAGTCTACAGGTTACGATGAAGAAGGGCAGAGTCACTTCCTTGGAGTTCTCACAGAGGCATGGCGCGCTGCTATAGAAGCTCAGCAGAGGACCAGGCAACGAGAAGAAGCGTACCAATGACGTATAGGCAGAACCATCGAGGCTCTGTGGGGGCCAGCTGAGTGCTAGAATGGAGCAACTTTAGGAGAAACCCAGAAACTGAATATTCAAAGGGTTCTGGGGTAGGGGCTGGGAACAGAGACCAGAGAGACAGTTCTAGCACATCTCCCTGAGGACAAGCTACTTCCGCTAAGAATAAAAGTCAAGGACAATTTGACTTTCAGTATGTCTATCAATTGGTCTCAGGCCAAATTGTAAAGATCTTTATTCAGGTTGTTCTGGGTGTTACTATTTTAAAATGAGTTTCTAAACACTTATACGTCCATGGATAATAATATGATCTGTAAAAATGTCTTGAATATACTCTTAGTGAATATAATGAAGCATTATGCCTACTTTCTCGTGTTAGCTACAGAGCTCAATAAAGCAAAGCCCAGGTATGCTCGCTGCCATTGCCGAGGATCTAGCACCTTCCGGCTAACAGGCAATGTTACAGGCAAACGAAGGGAAAGTCAATCACTTAGAGGGGAATAGTAAGAAAGTCAATTTAGCGCTGACCTGTTGGATGAGGGCATCGATACATTACGATTGATTTTCAGGGAATGGAAAAGTGGAGAGGAAAAAAAAAGATGGGAGGAGCTGGCAAGATGGTTTAGAGGCCAAATGTGCTTGCGTAGCAGGCCTGACAACCTGAGTCTGATCCTTAGAAGCCAGCTAAAGGTGGAAGGAGAGAATTGAGTCCTTAAAATTGTCCTCTGACCTCTACATGTGCGTGATGATGACGTGGGCACAGACACACACATACTAATAAACAACAACAACAACAACAACAACAATTAAATGGTAAGAGACCTCTATAGCAAGTCCTACTTGTTTAGATGTACAAAGGCGGAGGAGTCCTAACCTGCTTCCCTAACTGCTAACTTCTGCAGTCAACCTTAGAAGCTATACCTCCTGGGGTTTGGGCGATGACTCCATTGGTAAAGTGCTTGCTGTGCATAAGGACTTGAGTTTGATCCTTAGAATCATGTAAAAATTTGGGCACAGTGGCATGCACTTTTACTCCCAGAACTGGGGAGACAGGAGACCCCCTGAGGCTTGCTGGCCAGCCAGGTTAACTCAATCAGCAAGCTGTGTCTCAAAACACAGGTAGCCAGTGATGGAGGAGGACACCAGACACCGATCTCTGGGCTCCACACATGTGAACGCATAGAGAAACATGAACACGTGCACAGATACACACACACAGACAGAAAAGAAGAGGACACTAGACACCGACCTCAGGGCTCTACACATGTGAACACACATGGACACATGCACACACACAGACAGAAAAAAAAGCACTTCCTCAGGCCCATATTGTAGTGCTCTGTTTGACCAACACAAAAGAACAAAACAAACTATCTCTATCAAGAGAAGTGGTTTCAAAGAATCAGAGTCTAAAAAGGATAAGAACCCATAACAGAGTTCCTCTAAAGGAAAGCTTTCAAGCCGTATTTAATATATTGCAAAGACAAAAATTAAAAAAAAATAAGCATGTGAATTAAGAGATTATCTTTGTAAAAAGAAGAATCCAATGACATGTTTATCCATGTATTGAAACTAAGATTAATATAACAATGATGTCAGTGAGCACATACATTAGTTTAAAAACAGGAATAGGATTGGAGCATATTCAGTCAAAAAACAACATATAAAACCAGAAGAAAACCACAATTTCTTACAATTAAGTTCAATGATCTTATCTTGGAAGAAATAACTCTCATTTGAAAACGAGAGTCAGGTGAGTATATTTTACCTGGTTTAAGTAATTTAGGCACTTTTCAAGACACCAAAGGCAACAAATGCAAGACTTCAGCATACATCGTGCACAAGCATTTTCCTGGACAGAGGAAGAAAGTAAAATAGTTAACAAACACACAAGCAAAAATCTAATCATCATGCATGCAACTTTTCTAGAAAAACAAAAGTTTAAGAACCACAATCTAAGCTTCAAAGCCCCCATGCCCATTTCTTTCCTCTTTCAATACAATGGCTGAATCATCTTAAAAAGTTTGAATCAGTATTTATTTATTTACTAGTGATTGCATATATGGAAAAGTAAAGGCATATAGGCCAGCAAGGAATTTAAAACCTAATAAGACAAAATCAATGCTAAACACCAAAAGGTGAGAGTCAGAACGTGGCTGACAATGTGCTGAGCTGGAAAACAGAAAGAGAATGCTGCATGGGAAAGGGACCCAGAACTGGTTTCTAGGTAGAGGGAGATTTTGAGTTAAACTACATTGAAATCCACGCTATTCCCAAAGCCAGGTAGGGAACTCCTATCTTCTGGATAGCAACCCGTTTGTGAGCTGTAAGGATTACGAGACTCTCTTGCCTCTTTGGTCTTTTAAATGCTTCCTCTGCCACAGAGAAACCTTTTGGCTTGGGATCATTTTATTTATCAGCTTTCACTTCTGTTGCCTATGCTTTTCTGTTTTAAAAAGAAACTTTTCCTAGATCAATATCAAGGACCACTGTTCCCGTTCCTTTCTATCAGTAATGAGAGACTTATTGTCACACTAACTGACTTCCACTGCACTGTCACATGGTAGGGACACTTGGCTAACGGTACTGTCTTAGACACGAGGGTTTGGATGCTCTTACCACAGAGCTATGAGCAATGATATGATGCTGTAAGGTTTGGATGTGCTAAAGAGTTTGACTTGATTATTCGACAGCTAACATATGTATCAGAACATGCTGAGTCCCGTATGCATGTACAGTTATCATGGGTTTGTTAAAAAAACACACTTAGAAAAGACACAGGGTAGAAACGAGTTTCTAACTCAATACCCCCAGTAACCAGCGACTAGACAGACACTCCAGGGCATGTGCAATGCACAGGTGCGAGACCAGGAGAAAGAGCTGGATCCCACTTCGTTTAGACTCCAAGGAAGACATTCAGAAGTTGATATCCTACTATATGCAGAAACGAGGTCTGTTGTACGCTCCCAGGGAGGCCTGGCTAACCCCTAAACCACCCTCCATGAACGTACACTCCCAAGAAAGCCTAAGCTATCCCCTACACCACCCACCCCCAACCCCCACTCCCACCTGTACCCCTACCTTTCCTTTGAGCTGGCTGTGTATATACATGAGGATCATCCTTGGGATTTTGACTAGGGTGATAATGAAGGATCCTTTTGCCACTGTACCAAGGTGGTAGCGAATAAGGCGGTTCACTGATGCCAGAATAGGTGTGAATGGCAAATTCCTTTTATCCCTATTTTAAAAATGATCAGAAAGATAATTAAAACATAAGCCTAGAACATTGGAGAAAACACAAATATAAATGGTCTGGAATCTGAAGGAGTGCAAAACAAAATGACTGTATAGTATTATCCAGCTTTAGGATAAATTGGCAAAGTAACCGCCCAAAACATGAAGGTGCCACAAACTCAGTTTCGCTTCTCTATGGTAGTACCATGCGGTTCTGTAACTTTATGCTCTGAAACTTTAGATAAGACTCTCCTAGACATGAGGATTTGAATGCTCTTTAAAAGTTCTTATTAATGAATATTTGAGGAATAAGTTGTATCATCAGAAAACAGAAATTAAAAAACAATCTACTGCTGGCTGGGTGTGGTGGTAGCATTCAGAAGACAAAGACAGGCAGATCTCTGAGTTTGAGGCCAACCCGGTGTACAGAGTGAGTTCCAGGACAGCCAGGGCTACACAAAGAACCCTGCCTCACAAACAAAACAAACAAAAAGTCTACACTGGTAGCCCATTGCAGGAGACCGCTGTGTGGCTTATCCCTTTAGGTCTCAGCCCTGAAGTGAGCAAGGCGGTTGGTTACACAACAGTTCTTCTGAGAGAAGCAAACGAGGCCTCTAATAGGCCTTTTGCATCTGACACTCAGCAAGGTTTTCTCTCTTCCAGAAGGCGGTTTAGGTTACATCATAGTCTGCTGCCCCAAACAGGCTGTTAGGCAATCCCAGGAAAGCGTGAGGAACTGGAATACCCAATCCCAGAGTCAGCAACTGTACCATCGTGTCATGACCCGCCACCCCCAACCCTGTTCCCTTGTAGACATGGTTACCGAATGAACTGGAGTTTTCTCACAGGTAAAGCGCCTCACCTAGTGAAATAGTACGTCACCACGGCCCCTGCCACGGTCATCTGCTGGCACGCGAGAATGAACTCACTGATCCAAATCAGGCCGACCACGTGGTACCACCACATGTACTGCAAAGGCCCAGAGATCCTGTACTCCACAAAACCTTGATCATTCTGAACAGCACTGCCTAAGAAAATGTCAAGGAAGCAAAGAAGGACCACGTAAAGCAGAAACCAAGACACATGGACAGACACCGAACGTAGGCGATCAGCAAGACTGCCTGAGACAGGTGCCACTCCTGGGCACAAGTCTGCCGGGCTCTTAGGGCTGTTCACTAACTAAGGGACAGCAACTGTGATCACTTAGCACACTGTGAAATTTAACATTATCCGATTACACATTAGGCATTGGAGAAAGTGTTTAAAATACTCTATTTATAATAAATATAGTTCTGGTTCCACTATCGGGTTATTTAGGCATGAATTTTCAAACACTTCAGGGCTTTTTCTCTTTGCCAGGTTTTATTACAGATCCAGTCATTACAGATCTAAACTATTAACTAAGCATAACAATGAATGTTATGTTCATTTAGTGAGTACGAGCTGACTGGACAGAGATGTTTCACACAAGTTTACTATCTTTATACGCACTACTTTAATTAATTAATCAATTAAATTAATACGTGTTTCTTCACGTCTGGTACCGAGTCCAGCTATCAATAAGTTAGAGCTTATCTACAAAACTGTAGTCCAGGATGACTCTGGACTGGGAAGCGACTGCAGAGAGGCTATGAATTCATTCATTCATTTTAGAATGGATCCAAAACTGATTAAATTGAGAGCTCACTTAAAATCCACGACTCTCTCAAAATTAAGAAGCAGTTTTGGTCTTAGCTAGCCTAGATGCAACCTGCTAAGATCTGCTAAAAAAATCACGAAGAGGGAATGAGTTATTGAAGACCCTATTATTAGATTTGATGGCTACTGTATCTTCATCAATAAATGTATGAAGAGCTGAATCTCTCTGGACTGGTGTGTGTGTGTGTGTGTGTGTGTGTACACACGTGTACTACGGATCAACAGGCCCTCATTCATAGGCAAGCACTCTACCACTGAGCCACATCCCCAACCCACTCTGATGATTTAAAATATCTGACTGTAAATTAGATTCACGGAAAAGAGGAAGAAGCCACACTTCTTCTTACCGGTAGTGCCGAGGAAAAGAAGCGTCATTATCCAGTATGCCCAAAATAAGACAAGAGCAAAAAAGGTCCAGAAGGGCTGGAAGACGAGCAGCGGCAAGTGTATGAAGACCTTGCCAGCCACGTGGAACAAGGCGATGGTGAGAGCCACGCGCTTGCGCATTACCAGCATTATCAGGAACAAAATGACCTGAGCGGCGGACGAAAAGAAAGGGTTACTTCTCTGCGCGATTCCTGAGCGGCAGACGAAAGGAAAGGGTTACTTCTCTGCACGATTCTAACTCAGCCTTCCCAGTGCGTTCAGAGAGGAATTTCCAACTCTGCCTCTCCCCACTAATTACTAGTCAAAATGTGTTGTCGGGGTGGGGATCTGGCTCAGTGGCAGAGCGCTAGACTAGCAAGTGCAAGGCCCTGGAGACATCTTCAGTGTGTGTGTGTGTGGGGGGCAACAAATGTTGTCAGTCGGGGCTAAGATTCTTCATTTGCGTAGCTAAGTGCCTATCATTCTGAGAAATGGTGGGAGAGTTATATGCCATCACCTCAAAGCAAGGGGAGCATTTATTTGTATTTATCTCCTTTGTTGACGGAAACTCCTTAAGTGGGATGTGAGGCCAGAACAACCATTTGTCTATTCACTCTCCACTTGTTCCCTACAGAAGCTAGCATACAGAATTACAGCTAAAGGAGCATAATTAACAAATATCTTGGAGCCCTCAGCTTTAGTGGCATTATTGTTATTACTAGCCTTACTGATGCTTGGGTTCACCCCTCATTTAGCTATAGGCTTGTCAGTAAGATTTTTATTGTATAACAAACGTCTAAGTACAGTGCACCTGACCCATATTTTCAATACAACATATACTATTAAAAGTTAAGTTTTAAATAAAATAAATGGGAAATAATGAATGAACGAGTAAGAGGAATGGTATTCTCAATCTTAATAAACTGTTTCCTAAAATGTAATTACATCATGACAATAAGAAATACATCATTAGCAATGACAACATAAACATCCCAGGTGAAAATTTATCTCAGAAAGCAGACAGGGCAGAACAAACTGTTGCATCAAAGAACACTCGTCAATTAGAGAAGCCTCTACCAGACTTTGAACAGAAACTAAACCATGAGGCAGGAATCCAAGGATCAGGGTGAGTTTCCAGTCCATTTATGGTCACCTGCTAACATGCACACGACACTGAGAGCAACGTTTGTACCATGCCGCCCCCCCCCTCCCCGCCAACTCACAGTGAACACTGTGGCTGAAATGGCATAGATGAGGAGGGCCCGCAGATTGTCTTCAGCTATCTGAAGCTGTTCAGGAATAACTGTTTCTTTGGAGGACCTTCTTTGCTTTGCATATAGCCACCACAGTACACCCGTGCCACCTGGAGATAAATAGCAATAGTTTTTTTTTTTTGCAAAAAATCCATACAAAAATATGTAACATATATGCTCAGTTTTCTGGACCTACACTTTTTTTTTACAGCATGAATGAGACACAGTGACAACCCATTTACCTACTCTTTGGAAGCATAAGAGGGAAAGTAGCTTTCATAAGTATCTACATCCTTTGCTGTATCAGATAGATTTTCTTCAAATATAAATCATTGACTATGAAGCTGAGGACAGTAACAGCAGCTAACTTCCAAGGAAAACTCATAACACCAATGCCTAGTGCGGATAGCCAAGCAAATGATTAAATATTTGCACAGTGATCACACAAACAAACAAAGGGTATGAGAGAGTAATTCGCACCAAAGGTAGGAAAGAAAGCAGGAGACCTCCGATGGCAGTGGGTTCTGGGGATAAAGGTCTTTATTTCTACTGCTAGTTCTGATGTAAAAAGGAGGCTGAAGAAAACCAAACCTGCTGCCTGTAATAGCCTAATTTTCCCTCAGTGCATTCCTTCAGTACCTATCCACCAGGAAAGGGAACAGGGCAGGAAACAGGTCCCCACTCTCTCTGCTCCTTGCTTGAGTTTACACAGCAATCAGGAAGTAGAAATTAACAGGAAGTAAGTCAGAGACGAATATGAAGTCTAAGGAAAAAAACCTAAAAGGAGGGATAGTACTTGGTTTAGAAAGCACTGCTAATTTTTTTTTAAAACAGATAATCAAGGCTTCCCTGAGAAGACCTGTCTGGTCAAGAGAATAAAGACAGAGGAAGAGTAACTTTAAAAGTCCCTAAGGAAAATGTTCTCCGGGCAAAAGTCTAAAGCTGAGGTGAGATATGACTGGCTGGAGAGCTCTTTCTCTGACCCTAAAGAGACCACTGAGCCATCCTAATGCAAGTTTGCAAGAGCGGTGTGCTATGAGGCATGGGCGCAGGGACAGATGGGGACCAGACTACCTGTAATGAGTTATTGGCTACGATGAGGAACTGACATTCAAACAGAGAGTGGGGAGAGGAATACAGTAATGCCTGACAGATCAAAAACCGAACTGAGAGCTACGCTTACCAACCTGATCCGCATCTGTTCCTGAGTAACTAAGTCAAAAGGAAGCTCCCTATCATGTTTGTTAGTGAAGACCAACTATGAATTTTCCTTCTTATGAAAATGTAAAGAAACCAAGCCAACTAAGTATATAGTGATGTACACCTTTAATCCCAGCACTCAGGAGGCAGAGGCAGGCAGATCTCTGTGAGTTCAAGACCAGCCTGGTCTACAGAGGGAGTTCCATGACAGGCTCCAAAGCTACAGAGAAATCCTGTATCAAAAAACAAAACAAAAAAACTCTTCCCTTTTGACATCCCAAGGTACCAGGAAATTGCTTGGAAAAAAATGTTCAACATATCAGAAAACGGAAGGAATTACACTCTCTACAAACAAAAGGAATAGGAAGTTCAGAGAGGAGCTGCTGCCCTAGGAAAGTGGAATGAATGGCAAGGACGCTGAGGAGCTGCTGCCCTAGGAAAGTGGAATGAATGGCAAGGACGCTGAGGAGCCGCTGCTCACAGCAGGCACTGTGAACCTGTACTGCACCCCGTGACCCCCTGACAGTGTGACCTGCCTGACTTACCCACTACAGCTATTAAGTGGTCACTATTAATTTTACAAATTATAAAACTGAAATGAGAAAGCTCAGTCACATGAAATACGACGTGCACTAAATGGCAGATTTTGATTATTAAAGCTACACATCTGAACATGAATTAGATTCAAATCGCTGCCAGGTGAAAAGAAAACACAGTCGAGGGGGGGGGAACAGAATGGGAAGCAGGGTCAGCATAAGGAACTCTTATGCAAAAGAAAACAACAAAATTCTGAAGACCATAAAATATTCATGGAATAAGCAATGACCTGAAGAAAAAGACACGGGGACAGGGACAATGACCAAATATAGAAACAAAAACACCTTTAGAGAGGTGTAAAAGAGCCATCCCCAAAAGACGGGCATGGATAAGAACCAGATTTATCTTTTTAAAATCTTTAAATTATTAAGGTTGCAGTAAATTTCATTTAAAACTATAAGGGATAAATCGGGCAAAGAAACAAAATGCAGTATGGTCATCCTGAGATTTCTGGAACAAATGCACAGGCCTGAAGGAACATCTGTGCCTGAACACAGCTCCATCCAATGCACAGGCCTGAAGGAACATCAGTGCCTGAACACAGCTCCATCCAATGCATAGGCCTGAAGGAACATCTGTGCCTGAACGCAGCTCTATCCAATGCATTCAGGACATTCTGTGCCTTACACAGTTCAGCCCACTGAATCCAAACTGTACATGCAAAGGTAAAGACAATACTTGATAATCAAGAACTAGGAAAACACAGAATCCATTAAGTCCCTCATGAATAAATCATCTGAATTCAGTTAATACAAAGGTGAACCAAATTACCAATTCAGAAAGGCTTTTGGATACAGGATCAGTAGGTCTAACTAAGACTAGTCCAAGAAACCTAACCTGAAATGCAAAGGTGAGGCAGGGGCCTTGCAAGACAAGGGCAAATAAATTCTGAAGACACGATATACAGAAATATTTTAAACTTAATAGTAACTTGAATGTAAATGCTGGGATGATTTGACAAGGTCTCAAGCACAAATGAGCTGGAGGGAGGGACCAGGTGGCGCAGGAAGTTAGGGAAGCAAGGGAAAAGCAAAACATATCATTTCTGCCATTAACAATCACAGGATCAAGCAGCATTTTACAAATACAAACACAGGTTACCAAGTGCAGAAGTAGAAATACATTAGATACAAAGGCAATGATTGAAGACTGTTAGGGAAAATGGTGTATATGGAAACGCTAGAGAAACGGAAACACAAAAACAGGAGACAGCAGCAGGAACAAACACACCATTCAGATTACAGACATAAACTGAGAGACACAGTCAACTGGAGCTCGAAATGCTAACTAAATGCCGTGCATTCACAGACACGTGCACAGAAAAGGGTATGTGCTGCAAGTGCTAACCGGAGTGAAATGAGGAAGGGAATATAATTATGACACCCTCAAGGCAAAAATAAACACTCGTTCTGGAGAAGAAATAGCACGGGCAAATAAAAACTCCATTTTCTTCTTTTTATTTCAATTTACTACCATGAAATTAGTTAGGTACAATGAAAACAAAGAAGAAGACAATCACTTACCCAGTGAGCCCAGGATGACCAGAATTGTTAAGATCCACACAAGCACTCTCGATATGTACCTGATAATCACCATCAGAATCATGGACAGAACTGCAAGGAAGACAGAGACCACAAAGGATATCGTATGAAAAACACAAGAAACTATGAAGAGACAGACAACTACTGCTTTTCCTACAGGCATAGCTTGATGCTGTTAGTTCACGAGCACCATTTTGACAAGAAACTGGCTGCTTCTGCAATTACGGCTCACAGCCTTCTTAAGTCCCGTCTCTGAAAGCCGAAGGTCCTCACTGTGTGGGTTGTAAGCTACAGAAAAGAATGCATGCAAATGCAAAGGGTGACCCCAATGGTAGCCGAGGCTGCCGTGGAGTCGCCAGCAGGAAGACATGGGACATGCAAACACACACCAGTGCGGGAGGTGCAGAGAATGACATGTCATGTTGGTGAACAAAACGAAAACAACAATAACAAAACTGTAACAGGCAGCGGGAAATCAGCTAGTGCTACACTGCCCTGACCAACCTGTATCGTCTCAGGAAAAACGTCTCTAATTCAACAGACTAGACGGCATTTTAACACTGCCCAATATTTTACAATTAACTCTATAACTCCGAGAAGGTCTAAGTCTATACAGTATAATGTTCTTAAACCTGCTAAGGCCAGATGCCCCTGACCTCATTTCTCGACTGCCTGCAAAGCTCTTCCTTAAAAAAGAGCAAAGATTAGGCTGAGTTACTTAGCAAGCTCCCTTACCTATTCCAAACTAAATCCTAATTCCTAGTGTGCCAAAATAATAATTAAAATGGTTGAAAAAGAGGGCAGTTAACCCTTGTGTAAGAAACATAATTCTCAAATATTTTATAAATATTTAATGATCTAAAGGCTCATTCCACAAACAAATGAACAAAGATATCTTGAATTTATATTATACTCTTATGCCTCAAAAGAAAGATATTCTAATAAAAGTCAAATTCACATTAGTGTTATGAATCTTCAAGTTTGTATATAGCTTTTGGTTAAAGCATTCAACTGTTTCAGAAAACCAAGTGTTTATTATATAAAGTCATCATATTTCTTCAGGTCATTTGAAAAGCTGAATGCATGGTTAGGTTTATGCTCAGGAATTTTAAGGTACTACTTTTACAATAAATGTATAGGGATGAAAAACCAGACGGGAGCCCCTCGAATATCACAGAATAGGAATTTCATAAGGACAGTATTACTATGAGTCAAGCACTGACTCTCTCTAATGATAAGAAAGGTGGGAATAAAGCCTGTACCTTCTCAATGAATACGACTGCTACTAAACATACATAAAATTAATTTTACTTATACAATGAAACAGTTTGGTCGCTAGCTTACGTCTCCCAATTAAGAAGATGTACAAACTCTGATATGCCCTTGCACAGACTAAGAATAATATAGGTAACTTTTTTCATCTTGAAAATAAAACTGATTTTATTATTTAATTACTGACTAATTCTGTGGCTTACAAGTGGAGATTTCTTAGTTTTCACAGCAAGGCAGTAATACTATGAACTATAGCAATAAAAATAAAATTACACACTTCAAAAGCAACCTTTGTTCTTAGAATACATAAGAGAGTACTTAGCCTCTTTCACATATAAATATACCTTTGGAATCATGTCTAAATCATTAAAAGGAGTCTTTTGCTATCATCAAAGATAATCAATGGATGATTTAGTAACCAAAGTTTGGGGAAACAAGTCTTTAATGAAAGAAAATAGAAACGACATGAGTTTCAGATATATACATATACGTACTTCTATGTATATATTTATAACTATATGTATTCTGAAACAGTTATTCTGGCCATGGGAAGTCAAGCACTTTACAGTTATCCCCAGTTGTATGCATATTTTGGCTAAAGACAGAGCAGTCTTCTGCAGTACTACGAAACAGCTAATAATGAGAAAAACAATTACCTAGTGATAACAAGCAAAGTCCCAATATAATTTCTTTGCTGGTCATTACTCCACTAATCAGCCTGTGTAAGACACTATTGTCACTGACAAAGGTGATCAGGGCCTCTGCAAACTTGGCATAGCAGGAAATGTTCACAGGAGCACAGCGATGGAAGAATGGAATAGGTGCACTGGTGACACAAGAAAAAAAAATCAGAAAAAAAATTACTCCTACTTAATATAAATGCCACATCAAACACACAAATGAAAGGTGAATATGGCTGCAATACACTCCACCCTCCTCCTCGTGGGAGCTAAGTGCTGTGCACTATGAAGATAACCGCTATGCGTACGGATGCCAATCTTACCAGAGCTTATCAAAGAGGGTGGAGTGTATACTCCAACAAAGACATTCCCCCACCCCTGAAGACAAATACACACGTACACATACGCATGGAGAACTACCAGAAGCAAAACCAAGCATGCGAGACTCCTCCGCTCTGCACATCTACCAGAGGCAGACAACAAAGCTTATAAGCATGCACTTCCTTGAATGGAAAAGGAACTTTTGCCAAAAGCAACTGAAAAGGAGACATACACGCATGCTTTTACATGAAATGGACCACCATTAATAGAATGTTTCCTCTTTCAAAACGTCATGGGAAACCTCATATTAATAAAGGTGTTTAGGGCACAAGCTTATATACCCTCATACAAACAAAAGCATGCCAAGACATTAACAGACAGTAACTTAAAACAGCCATGAGAACTAATCTATAAAAATGTTTATAATACAGAAACACAAGGGGGAATCACATATAATATAAAGGTGGTATCTCTGCATCAAGGATTACACACAAATATGGGAACAAACACAATAAAAAGTAAAAACTACACAACTTATTAGGGGCATGGAATTCTGCCCTGTTTTCTTTCCCTTTATAGTGCTTGGAATTGAACCCAGGGCCTCAGGCATGCTGGACAATTGCTCTACTACTCAACAATATTCTGGAAAATTACTTATTTGCATATATGGCACGTGTGATATATAGGATAGGCATATATCATAAACAATGAGTATATGTGTCTAAAAAAGGGAACACAGCCAACAATTTGATCACTTAATCCAAGCTTCCATGACTACAGCTGTGACTTGTGAGAGAACATAGGTGTGTATTAACCATGACTTGAAGCTGGCTTCCAATAACATGGATCTTCTTCAACTCCTGCGACGATAATACGTATGCACATCTAACCGATGACAACACTGTGAACCAGGAAACATCAGGATTCCAGGAGACCCCATACATACAAATACATATGTCTAAGTACACATGGGTGAATTGAGTTAAAATTTGGCCATAGTAACACAAACCTCACACCACTGGAACTGATTATCAGACGGGGGCGGGTCTCATAACATACTAGTCTGGACTAAAGTACTGTAAGTTTGTTCTCCTTCTTAAATATTAGTCTACTTGGTAGGTAAGATTACACAGCTGGGATCAAACTTGAAGGCTTCTAGTCTTAGGAAAACAATAACTGGCCTGAAGCAAAACACTGCCTTTGTTTCCTTCCTCAAAATTTTATTTTCTTTTGAAATCAGAATGAGTGGACTGTAAATGTGGGTAAATGGACACTAATGGCAAGAAGCAACATCATCCATACTACTAAACTCTATAAAACAAAGTAACTTTAAAGATGAAGCCTTACCTTAGTTACATTTCAGTAAACTGTATCCAAAAATATGATGTAACAATATAACAGGGATAGTCACCTTTAAAAAAAACCATCTCTATGTTGCTGTGTTGTATATTCTTCTAAAATGGCATTAAATGAGCACTCTAGAATCAATGCCAAAGACCTAATGCTTTTCTTTTGTAATTGTAGGAGGGTCCAACATTCTGAGCAATTGTTTCTTGAACAAACATTATGTCATTAAAGATGAAAAAAGGTATCAAATTACATAATACTTTTAAATGAAATGGATCTAGCTAGAGACATTACAAGAATTTAAATGGATTAGCTCTAAATCTCAAAGTCAAAGGAGGCTGATTTGGTTATAACTGACAGGTTTTTTTTGTCCTGATGTCTAGAGAGATGCTGTTTTAGTACCTCTGTCTAAGCATACTTCCAATTATATATATAAGCAAACTGAAGGCTGGCTCCACATCTTTAAAACCCAACTGCTCTCTGTTCTGTAGCCATGTGTACTGTCGTCTACCCTCTGTGTATACTGGCCTGCTAACTTAGCTTCAGCTGAACTCATCTGCCCCCACCTTTACCCTCAAAGGGACACACCTTAAGGTCCTCTATCTTACTGATAGTGTCCACTAGTTTTCTTAGCCCTGCTTACTGATTTTTCCTATCAGATATGAAAGCCCCAATTCCCTGGCACTGCAGTCGTAAGCCACTGTCTTTCTGAGTTCTGTTCCATTTGCTGGGACGGTAGCACAGTTCAGGAAGTCACTTCAGATCATCAGCATCACCGCCGTCACCCAAGAGCTCGTCCACAAGACCTGATCCTGACTCCCAGGAGCCCCACAGATGATGTGGTCCATGTTTGCTTCCTTGTGAAGTAAGGACTAAGAGATCAGCTTGAAAAGGGAAAGACTGTGCTTTGAAAATCCCAATCTTTCTAGCTAGGAAGATATGTCAGTGAGGTCTGCGTGGGACTTTCCCTTTCAAGGCACTTGGCCAACTCCAAAGAGTTCTTCTGGAGAAGTCCTCAAAGAATTGGGGCATAATAACAGTAACCTTTTACCCTACAATTTACTGTATATTAATTAAAAATACCCGGTATCTCTAAATTTAAAAGTATAAAAATACTAAAAACTGGTTAGTCACATTGTCTAGTTAATAGTAAAAACATTTTTTAGCTAAAATAAAAAAATAAGCAGGAAAGAATGCATGGATCCATTAAAAGTTAAATATTTAGTTGCAAAGTAAAAAGCACTAGAATCCCTTACCTACCTGCCGCTCTGCCCTACCCTGTCCTGTCGGCCTTTTCCTTCCTGCCTTCCCTGTCTGTCTGCCTGCCTGCCTTCCCCCCCACTCCCTTGCTCCCTTCTTTCCTTCCTTCCTTTTCTCTCCTCCCTTTCTCCTTTCCTAAGGAACTCGGGGCCATATGCTACAGACTTGACCACTAAACTACATTCCTGGCCTCTGCAATGATTTCATTGCTGTTGTTTGGTTTCTGATACACAGTCTCACGCTGCAGTTCAGGCTAGCCTCAAATTCACAGTCATCTTCCAGTCTCAGCTTCCCCAGTGCCTGGAATTATTTATAAGCTATTTATAAGCCAACATATCAGTTTTGAATTCTTCTCTCTCTCTTTTTTTAAAAAGGTTTAGCTTATTTAAACTTTTTATTGATTAAATTTGTTCTTTGACAATGTCATCCTTGAATAAAATACATTCATTTTCCTCTTACAGAATTCTTTTGAGTACTTCTGATATCAAAATGCTTGTATTATATTTTACCACTTAACATAATGAACTCAAAATGGACCATCTCATTTCACATTCTTCTGAGAGCATGGCATATGAGAACATGTCTGTGCTACTGTCTAGCCCATAATGAAGAGGGCACACATCAAGAATTTTCCTTACAGTTAGTTTGTCTTTTTTCAAAGCCACAGGCTAATGTGTCTTGAAGAGGCCACTGAGGCTCCAATATGCCCAGGCACTTCACATTACTGAAACATCAGTCAACAAGAACAAAATGTATCTGTAACAAGTCTTCTAAGGATTTAAAAACAAACTAGCCAATCAAAGGTAAAGCTTGGCAAACTCACTGCTTACTTCCCCTTTGAGTCCCAACTGTCACAGTGAAGGTACTCCCTGGGGCATGACAGACAGTTCTCAGTAGCCTAGGTTCATGTCCTTCATGAGAGAAGGCAAGGATCAGCTTCTCGGTAACTATTTCAGAACCTGAGCTAAAAACACACAGCCACCATGATTTCTAGCTATCCTTTTGAGAAAAGAACAGTATTAAAGGATTCTGGAAAGATTTCCCCAGAGAATATAAAAAGCAGGAAATAGTCAAAAATCTAGCAGTTATATAATGTACTCTTTGTGCACATTGTTCTATTTTTCTCCCTTCTTTCACTTTTATATACTATAGAAACAACTACTGCCACAGAGATCCTATATGATCTAGACTCAGATTCTGACTCAGCAATTACTGTGCGGTCGTGGGTAATTTATGTGTTCTTTCATCTTCCATTTTCCCCATCTACAAATGAGGGGCAAAATCTGCACAGGTTTTGTGAGGGTTGGGTTATATAATACATGCGAGAGACAGGATGTTGGCCAGCAATAATAGTAAGTGGTTCGTTGAGGGTTCGAAGCTATAATACATTTGAGAGACCATATGTTGGTCAGCACATAGTAAGTTATTTGTAAAAATTAGTTCATCTACCAATCTCCCACTTGAAAATATGAATAGGCAATACTTGTTCTTGATTATTAATTTCTCACCTCAGTATTACATTATTACTTGCCCAGCACCTAGCCACCTTTTGGGTATCAGGAGTTACCTAAATAAGGGAACAAGCTAAGAAACTGGGTTCTGTCACTGCTGTGTATAGAATACCCCTGCAAGCACATAGGATGACTCTTCCCCATATAGGGTGACTCTTCCCCATATTGCCACTCCACTTGGCATCCCACCAACAGAGGCACAAATGTGGATACACTGTTGCCTTGTCTAGCCACTTGCTTTTAAAGCACCAAAGATCTTAGGTTATCTGACTTTTAATGTGCTCTTAGTATTTTACTGAAAATGAGTTCATAGCTGCTTTTGCTAAGGCAAGGACAGGTCTCTGGGCACCCAGAAAGGTCTGGGCAAAGGGAAGGTTCTTGAAGTAGGGAGAGATGATAATACTTCCCAAGCTGGGAGACAAGAACAAAAATGGACATTTAATATCTATTATCTTAAGCCTTAAAACAATTTTGCAAATATTTCCATTTATTCACAGATCAACTAGATCCACATATAGGTTAAGAGACTTACCCCAGCTGATAAATAGAACAATAAATGGGACAAAGTCACTCAGACCTACACATTCTAGGTTTTTCTTACTAAATATCACTGAAAACAGTCCCTTTACTTTCACGTCTACAGATTTTCAATTTTGATTTGCAGAAGCAGCTTGACAAAACTGACAGAGCTGGAAATCGATCTGACTGACGCGTCCTTTCTCTATTTCCCAACAGAGTATTTCAAATTCAAGTCTAGAAGCCACAACCTGTTGGAACTCAAAGTTTATACTGCTCTGTCCTAGAAGGATGCTATGTTCCTGGGAGGGGTGGGGAGATGTAAAAGGAGGCTGGAGAGAAGGATCAGTAATTACAAGACTCTCCCCTCTTCCCCATGAGCTCAGTGTCCCACACGCACATCAGTGCTCCAGTTCCAGGGTGTCCGACACGCTCTTCTGACTTCTGCAGATACCCACCTCATATATGTAGTGGGGCTAGTACTGTGGGACACACTCTTAATCCCAGCACTTATAAGGTAGAGGCAGGGGAATCTCTCTAGGTTCGAGGCCAGCTAGGTCTACATAGTGAGTTTCAAAGTAGCCAGACCTACATAGTGAGACTGTCTAAATTTTAAAATAGATAGTTAGACAGACACAGACAGACAGACAGACAGACAGACAACAAGGATCAGCAATTGCCCAAGATGGTAGGATCAGAGGTTGGGGGGGGGCAGAGGGTTGTGATATAAGCTACACCCCCACCCACCCACAATTATGTAGGAGCAAAACAACTTCATTCATAATCCCGGGACTTTCCAATTGTTTTTAAAAAACATGTTTTAGCCTAGAGGGAATACTCAAAATATACATTTAAAACAAATTTTAGCAGTTAGGCAGATAAGTATATAGTATTCTTTTTCTCTTCTCCATTGCCCTATAGAGCTATATCTCCAAGACAGGGTTGACTAAGTTGCCTAGGTTAGCCTCAAACCTGCTACTTAGCTCAGGTCTTCAATCTGCGATCCTCCTGCCTCAGCCTCTTAAGTATCTGGGATTACAGGCCCATGCCACCAGGCCCAGCTCTGCCTGTTTTTATAGGACTGAGTGGATTCAAAGCCTCTCCTTTGCCTCATTGCTGTGGCCGCCCTAACAGGCTTCCCTTCCCTTCTATGAATGCCGTCCACTGAGTGGCTGGTTTAAGGCTGTAATGTTTAAATCCTTCCCAAGTTTCTCCTAAAACAGCCCCTTGACTCTGATGCCTACAGGCTTTAGATTTTGATTTTCAATAGCAACTTGACAAGGCTAAAGGAGCCAGAAATCAATCTGACTGCTGTGCCCTTTCTGCTCTTTGCAAAACACAAATTTAAAATTCAAGTTAATAAAGCACAAGCTACAGCCTACATAATTCTAAAGTCAACATGATCTGTTTTCGTGTTCTCGGATCTCTAAGTTTTCACTTGATAGTCCAATGTCTCTAAGTTTTCACTTGATAGTCAAATGTAATATACCGAGTGACTTCTATTCAGTTTTCTAGAGGTTTCCTGTGTCACACTGTTAGAAAGATAAATCAATACTTCAAAGGGTATGCATGTCTAAACATATACACATCTAAACATATACACATGTACATAATTTTGAGAATATACTCTACAATGCTTGAGTGTTTGTATCTTTAAAAAAAAAAAAACCTATGTATTGTGTTGATGTTTACTTTCCGTCTAAGTACCACAAGCCACTGCCAAAGAACATTTCTGCATCTTTGGGCTATTACATGCAGTTAGTATTTAATAATAAACGTTTGCTAAGTAAGATTTTGGATAAAACCTAGACAACAAAGAAGACCCTAAGAGAGACATACATGGATCTAATCTACATGGGCGGTAGAAAAAGACAAGATCTCCTGAGTAAATTGGGAGCATAGGACAGGGTAGAAGGGGAGAGGGAGGAAGGGAAGGGAGTGGAGAAAAATATATAGCTCAATAAAAAATAAATAAAATAAAGATTTTGAATAAAACCTGGCAAATAACCTAATACTAAGAATACCTCTGAAGAATATATCCTAAACAACCTGTAGAGAATAAACATTCACGTGCTTTTAAAATTCAAAGTAAATAAGAATTAATTTCAGTAAGTATTAATAGGATCAACTTCAGAACATCGACAGTGACAGGGAGATTTGGTTTCTAAATTTGTTGCCGATTTGACAATGATTCAGCAGTTTTATATACTTAAAAAGATTATGGAATGAAAATAAAAATATCGAAAAGCCCCTGAAAGAAATCCAAAATATCTGAGAACAAGAAGTTGTTTGTGAGTATATTTTTTAAAGATTAAAAAAAAAAAAGTTGTCACATCTTTTCCTACTTTTCGAATCTGGTAATCAAAGCAATGGCCCCGGCAACAGGCATCATCAAATGACAGTTGTCTCAGAACAATGCAGTGTGGATTTCCCTATGAAAACAAGGGCTAGAAGCTAAGAACTGTGCAGTTAGATTTACCTGGCTGGGACTGGTAGTTTGGGGCAATGCCCAGCGGATTTTGCAGTCAGAGTGTACTCAGAAGGCTTTATGCTGTAGTTACACAGTGCTGAGCCTGTTGGAAGAAAGTCATATGTTAGCTGGTGCAACAGTCTGAACAACGTCTCCGCCATTTCTCCTTAGCTTTAGATGTCAATGCTAACATTCCCCCTTTCAGTCATAATAAACACTGTAAAAACCATTTAATGTATACTATGAATCATTTATGTAAACAGATTTCTCTGAAATGACCAATAATTTAATGTATTTTAGGTACGAATTTTAATTACTAAAACCTTTACTGACTGTCATGTCAGGTCCTGCGCCAGATGACAGAGACATATATATCAGTTACTGTAAGCCTAGAAAATGGGCATTAGGACACTCACCACTCACAAACTAGGAGATAAAGAGGCTAAAAACAGGCAATTGGTAGAAGGGTTGGGATTAATTAGGCACTTGACTATCACCACAGAGTCTGCACTCCCTCCACTGTAGGACGGCCTCTGATTCATGTATTTTCCACTACTGAAAACTGAATATTCTGCACGCAGGTGGAATATCATTTCCTTATTTAAAAGACACGAGCCATTTCCAATGATAAATCACTGAACAAACTGATAAATTGGTTAGTGATCTCCAGTTTCCAGACAGTACATAATAGCTCAAATTCAACTTTGGATCGGCTATAGCAAGAGCTTTCTGATTATATGACTTACAATTATCTAAATAATGCTGAAAATTCAGAATGACACAGTTCACTGCATTTAGTATGCACTAAGTTACTGAGCTGCAGGTTTTTTGATATAGTGACTCCAATATAGGAAGGTCCGTTATACACCAACACTAGACGGCAGTGTGTGAAGAGCAGGCTGATGCTCTGGTTCTGCAGAGAACCTCCTGCATTATACACATAAATTATCCAATTAACTGATAGCCTTGCCAGATTTCTAAGTTAGCAAAATATTCTATTATTACTACAAACAGAAAAGCTTTCACGTGTACAGTGAATGACAATGAGAGCTTATATTACTATGGAAAAAGCTCAAAATATGTTGTGAGGTCAGAGTGGCCACCTAAAGGCTGGGCTAATTTTGGAAAAGGCACTTGATCATGTCTCAAGGAAATGGAGAGGATTATATAAAAATATATTCTGGTTTGTTAAGGACAGAATTGGGAGTGAGTTTATTTAACTTTTATCTTATTCCATCAATCAAACAAGTTGTTGGAAATTTCCAGGAAGCAACATATTTCCAGAAGCAATGCTATCTGAAACCAGCAAACTATCTGGTAAATGTTCAAATATGAGGGTCATCATAATACAGTCACCAAAATATAAATAGTATATATTTCATGCAAAGATAATATAAGTAACTGGACAGTGCAAAACTGTCTCTAAGGATTCTTTAAAGTTACACGACACATGGGTTAAGACACGCTGGGTGGTAAGATGCTCACCTTGCATATCTGAAACTCTAAGTTTGATCTTGAATATTTGGGGGTGACAGGGAGTGTATAAAAAGGAATATTAAGTATATAACTCCCCTGAAAGTGTTGTCTGCCCTGTCTTGAGCTAATGCCAGCAAGTTCTATTCACAGCAGCTTTGAAGGAAACATGACAGCAGCCAAACACTTGAGATTAATCCTAAAATAGCTAGAAGTCCTGCTGAGAAATACTCGTTTAAAAAAAAAAAAAAGCAGCTGTGCTGACACGTGCAGGGCACCCAAGTGTCTATGGACGTCTTGAGCTTAACCACCAACATTTCTTTCAGAGATCAAGGCGGAAAACATGAAAGGCTAAGTAAAGACCCTTGTGCTGCTAAACCCTGCTTCCTCTGAATCCAATGAGCACAGCCTCCACCCTTCCCGTGCCCTCCTTCCCGGAGAGAGGGAGGTCACCAGGTACAACAAGGCTCAATTTTTATAGACACTTTCCCAGAAAAATGCTCAGTGAACGAAGAGCAGCTTTATCTCCAATCATCTGCTGGGACTTAGGCCAACGCTAAGCAGATCCTGTTCTGAAAAAAGTCCTTCATAATTAATATGTTAGTAGCAACAATTAATCCGAAGAAACTGCCCACTGCCTCCTGCACAGAGCTGAGAGGTGGGGAAGGCTCAAACACAGGGAAAACCTAGCAATGCAAACATTTTACAGTTCTTTTTTTTTTTTCCACATTACTTATTCATGGATGCACTTTCAGTGGACATTTTAAAAAGCAGCACCTGATTCTTATTTTTTTTTTTTTACAGCAGAATTATAAACAACGCCTACCATAAGAGGTTTACACCCAAGGAGTCAGACATACAGGGCTTTTTAAATGCAAAAACAGGTTAAAAAAAAACCCACACATGAATAATGAAAAGTCAAACACTAAAAACAACAGTTAATCTAAAGCGCACCAGAGGCAATCCATCCAACTCAGCCAGTGTTATTCAAAAGCTACCCAAATGACCGATTTTAGGAGCCCAACTAGGGCACACAAACATTTATCATGGTAAACGCCTACTATCATCCCCACCTCCGAGAATGTTTAACTTCTATGATATTTCAAATGTCTTAAAATATTCAATTATTTATTCTTTGGTTCATTTTGGTTATATCAATCCTATGAGGTGTGTTCTATTACTACACTCTAGAAGTTACAGATAAGCGGGACATTGGGGGCCAGTCACCCAGCCACAGCCAGCCAGGGAGTAAGAGGAAAGTAAGATTACACAAGTAAGAAAGATAAAAGCCCAGAGGGAAAAAGTAGATGGGTCAATTTAAGAAAAGCTGGCTGGAAACAAGTCAAGCTAAAGCTGGGCATTTATATGGAAGAATGAGACTCCGTATGTGATTTATTTGGGAGTTGGGTGGCGGGCCCTCAAAGAGCCAAAAGTTAAAAACAAACAGTAGCATCATGTTGGTTACGGAGGACTGTCCTACGCGATGCAGGGTTTACCTGCAGCACCCTTGGCCTCTCCCTACAACAACCAGAAATGTCCAAACACTGCCAAACCGTGTCAGGCAGCACTGTTACAGTGGGAACAATGGTCCCAAGCCCCAAATCACCTGAATTAAAGATATAGCATAGAGGGGATAATTTGAGGGCTGGTATTTTTGCCTAAATTATATTTTTTCCAATGCAGCAATCTTCACAAGCATCAAAATATGAAAAACAGACCCCATCAGAATGATTTAGAAATTGGTACTGAAGCAAAAAAAATTTTTTTATATGTGGATCTGTTTTCATTATAAAAAAATCAAATTCTACTGCCTTCATTTTTCTAATTAGGAAAACACTGCATTTATATTCTGGCAAAATAAAAATCACTTTTCCAATTTCAGTCTCTAGTAATCCATGAAATGTGGGGACATATTTACAATTCCCAAGAAGCACCATCCCTAGAAATTAGCCATTGGTACCACCTTGTCAACCATGATAGGTACTCAGTAAATATCTGCTAAGAAAATTTTTAGTATCGACACTCGAGACTTGCAGGTGCTGTGAGGTCGAGACGTCTGATCCTACTGGATTACAGGTTTCTTTAGTATGGGACCATAATGTGTATCTCTGGTGCATATTTGATGGATATTAATCATTGGAGTGAAGGAATTACTTTAAATTTTATTATCAACTGTAAACACACACCCTCTTCTAAATGATCAAGCATCCTGGTGTCTGACTTGGAAGCAATTAAATCATCTGCAGATCACTGTATTCATTCATGCACATTATCAAGTCCAACCTTCTGCATCGCGATATAAAAAGCAATCTATACTGTGTGTGTGCTTTCGATGATGATGTTACTGGCTGGAGGGAGAGCACGATGATCTGATGCTGACTGTAAACTTAATAGCCATTGACAATCCAAAGGCTTATTAGTATTCACGAGCTGTAAATTTTATCTAAATGTCATATAATTTGTTAAAGTCTTTAATGGCAAAACAATAATCCTTCCGAAAGCACCATTCAATGCTGCTGTCCTCAAAACCATCTATGATCCAAACAACAGGTCATAAAACCTTCAGAATTATATGAAATACTGTACATCAGAGAAGCACTTTTAAATTACAGTACTTTATATACTATAGTATATAGCTTTATAAATTTATAAGTTTATAAATGAGATGCAAACAAGGAAAAAAAAAACCTCTGCCATAGTTTGGTATTATGTTAGGCAAGGCAGAATATATATTATAAAATAGAGTAATAAGAATGATAATAAATGTCCCTGGTGATATATTCCCACCAACTGAGGATGTGTGGTCCACCTGTCAGAGAAGAGATGTTTGTTTCTAGGCTGCTTGTTAAAATCGAGCTAGAAAACTATGTAAAGCATCCAGTACAGCAGAGTGCATGGTGGGAATCAATAACACAATACATAATGGGGTTCAATATGGAATGTTGGAGCAAAACACACAGCCTCAGTCACTTACTAAGACCCTGATGCTGAGACTGGGTCATGCAGTTAGAGATGGCGGGCCAGAACTGGGGGAGAGGAGAGGAAGGAGAAGGCATGAGCCAGCACTGTGGTCATCCTTGTCTCCTGCCATGGTTTGTCTGGGGTCAGCTGAAAAATCTCATAGAAAACCAAAGCCAGCATCAGAAGGAGGTGCCATTCATTTCCCTGTATGATGTACCATTTTTTTGTGTGCTTACAAAAATCATACTAAGGACAGAAAGAAAACTGTTCATCAGAAACTAGAAGGAAGAGAAGCAGGGGTGGGATGGAATTCACACCCTGCTGAAATAAGAACTCAGATGGGAGCTGTTGCCAGGCAGTTTCAATTTTCTCTGTAGGACACCAAGGTTGGAAAAGAGAAGGAACCAAGGGGGCTCAAGAGAAGAAAAGGGACAGATAATCACTTGAAGAGGGTGTAGAAGAGAGATAAACGAATGAAATGAATTATTTAGATGAATTTTTAAAAGAACTGATTTCACAGCAATTCTGCTTAGATGGGAGCTAAGCAATTTACCTGCTGGAGGCAACAGACATGGATTCAGAATTGAGGATAAAGAACGGGGAGGATGAGAAATTATTATGGCAACAGAGACGGATAGGGAAATCCGGCCCTATGGGTATCTACTGTGT